GTATTTGAGAGATTATTTTCATCCCCCCATAAATCCAAATGTATATGAAGAACTAAGTTATTCTGCAAACAAAACTTTTTTTTTTTTTTTTTTTTGCTAAAAATACAGTAAGTGATGGGGTAGTTTTCAGCTTCCCGGGGTCCTTTTCTTATAGATGGCAGGGCTTTCTCATGAAAATAAAAGATACATTTCATGGTTTTTCCTACCAAACATAATACTCTGTAGCTGACAGACTCTCTCATTACTCTCAGGACTTAGGTAGGGTTTGAATCATTGCAATGTTGCTTTTCTTTCTCAGTTAACAGCTTCACGTTCACCTGTGAAGAGCCTGAAGGTACGGCAGAGGCAGTAGACTGAATTTGGAGGGTTTATAAATGCTCTGCAAGTTTCTCCTTTTTCTGTTATCCATTTTTTTCATGAGGATGTGGTTCACAGATGTCCTCAGCCATTCCCTCATCCTGCTGCTTTTTGGTTGCATTTTCCAAGATAGTATGAGGGGGAACAAGGGAGGTAAAGATTCATCAGTGTGGGAGCATTTATTTCAGCAGAGAACTACTTTCCCTCTTGAATCATTGTGCTAGTTGCTTAACTTAATAATGTAATGATAAACAGGTGAGAATGACATGTTGTTAAGGTCAAAGGAAAGTGGGAAAAGAGGGAAACTGAGGCAAGCATAAATGAGCTCACTCTCTAATTCCCTTGTTTAAAACAAGTCACTGTGTGTGGTTAAGGGGTAAGGAAGGTTGACTTCAATGTCTTGGCCAGCCTTAGCTGCTGTTTTTAAGATAAAGTCTCTTAGGCCAAAGGATGTTTTCTCCTAACATTTATGAAGTCCTTCATGACATGGTCTAATACCACTATAATACATGGCAAGTCTGACCCTCTGGGTCCAAATAAGAATGCAGGGCTTGAGACACAATTGACTTGGCTGTGAAATATGAGGGGTTATTTTTCAGAGCCAAGATTGGTACTGGGTTATTACGGATCCATCGTGAAAGCTTATCTTTTGGCCAGAACTGCTTAGTGGTTCTGGGGACATCATCGGAACCTTTCTAGTCTATAGTCATTGTTTCCCAAAGGACAACAGCCGTGTTTTGGGACAGTCCCCATCCACATCCTATCCTATAGACAGACATTTTGCCAAAGCCATTTTACTGCTAAGAATGAAAAACAATGGTTACCAGATTTCAAAAACTACACATATTCCCCCATCATGCCAATTAAAATATTTAAGCCTGTAACTGAATTTGGGGTTCTTAAAGAATGAATCTTACCTAGAGGTCTGTTGTCAACAGATTTATTCTGCATATAAACATATTGCCCGAGTCCTAAAGTGGGTTTTAAAAAATATATGAGGGGCTTGGTTTTCCTTTGTATCAGTATATTCCACAGATAGCATAGTTATTAAATTACATGGTCTCCTCATCTATTGTTTGGATAGAAAATGTAGATTTTTTAATAACAATTTCTTTATATTATTATTATTATTATTATTATTATTTTATTAGTTCAAATATAAACAAGCTTGCTTCACATGTCAGTCCTTAAGATTTCTTTAAACACAAGCAGCAGTCTCTGGTAAGGTGGTATTGCTATCATCTGCATTGTTATAGAATTAAATTATGTAGTCTGTCATTCAAAAAGAATGCTTTATAAATCAAATAAAGTCTCATAACTAAGATGAATAAGTTTTTTTTTTAACTTCGTGGTGCCTCATATCCAATGCTTTGGTTTTACAGCCCAACTTGATGTAATTTTTACACTGTGATTTTCTTTTTTTTTCTCTTGATTTTTGTTTACTGTTTTTGCTTTGTAAAAATCTCATTAGTTTCTGAGAAAAGAAGCTTAAGGAAAGCAATTATTGTAATGGACAGTAATATACCATCATAAAGGCATGTTCAGTTTTTTTTCTCTGTGGGTTGGCGGAAAATGTGCCAGATACACTGTACTTCCTTCCTTCCTTTGTTCTTTCTCTTTCTTTTATTATAGTAAATGTAAATGTTGTTAAAATTCTGTAATTTTTAGCAAATGCTAAAATCTAAATTAGTCCCCTTTCTTTCCCTTTAAAAGGCATTCTCTTGTTTGGAATTCTGAATGTATTTATATGTTTTTTTTTCTCTTTTGCAGAGGGGTTACAAATCATATTCCATAGTTACATAATACTAATTGTCTTAAAATATCTAAGCTTTGCAAAGAGGGGTTACAAATCATATTCCATAGTTACATAATACTAATTGTCTTAAGCTATCTAAGCTTTGTTCCCCAAGGCAATCCTGCTCAGCAGATGCCTGATTTCTTTTCCTCACTGCTGCTATGTAACTGCCCCAAACCATAGGGACTGATGCAATGTCCCTGAATGTGAGTATTCAGCAAGATGAAAGATAGGCAAAGGTCAGGAGTAAGAGAGGAGTAAGGTATTTCCACCTGGTTACAGGGAAAGAGCCCCACATGGCAGCTGCAGCTCCAGCTGCAGCTGCAGATGAAAAGAACTGAAATTCAGAAGAGAGGTCAGAGAGAGATCGAGATTGAAGATCTGGACAATTACAGGGCTGCCTGCAACTTTGGAACAATTCCATTTCTTTGGGGAAATGATATGAGAGAAGAGAGCAGGACTTAGGCCTGAGTCTTGGGGAAATCTTTGCTGTTGGGGTCTGGAAGTAGTAGCAGGAAGGCTGAAGTGGACGCATAAACTGCCATGCCATGAAGGAAGTCACCACATGCTCTATGTCTTCTAGGCTTTGGATTTTTGAGTCAGATAACCTTAGTTATGTTGCTGGAGGGTAAAGGCTCTAGGCATTGTAATCCCCGTGACTGTCATAGCCTTTAAGGGAGGTACAGCAGATGTAAAATGACGTTCATGGCTTTCTTGGGAAAAGACCCCTGAGATTGTGATTTTTTTAGTGTGGGTGAAAATTTCCTTAAAATCCTTATATGTGTTGGAGTTGTATAGCTTTTCCTAAGCAACTTGGATCAATTCAGAAGAATCAGCTTAATAACATTTCTAACTCTTAGTGTGTATAATTTCTTCGTTTTCCAGGATTTAACAATAAAATGTAAAGATATATTTGAAGTCGGGATATTATAAGATTTTTAAAATTATTTTAATTTGGTTAAAAATAAATTTACCAGTGGAAGAAACAAAGCCAATGACAGAAAGCAGTAAGTTTACTTTCAATTTTTCACACTAGGTTTTAAGTTATACTCTAACTCATGAATACATGCAATTACCATGCAAGTACATCTTGAAATTATTGAGGACTCTTCAAGAAAATAGCAGCTACAATGCATTCAAATTTGCATTATATGTAGTTCGGTAAACATTTTGAAGTACACACTATGTCTCTCAGTGAAATTGTAGAGTTGTCTTCATAGAAAGATACTGAAATACGAATAAGTGAATGCATATACCATTTAGGTATTGTAAATAAGTAAAATGCATAGGATCTGTTGAATGGAAACTCTGTGAACTAACCCATTTTTCTCCTAGGAATTCAGGTAGCCTAGCAACTTGCATTCTTGAGTCCAAAATGAAAAGGTTGCTTTTTTCTCCCTTCATCTTCCTCCTCAAATAACTTCATACACTGTAAAGAGTCAACATCTGTGGGAAAATGTTTTACTTGGCAGTTGTGCTTATCTTAAAAGGCTTATGGTGGATTTACTAATCCAAACAGGATAGCTGTTAGTTGCTTCATTTAAGGGTCATAGTTAAATACAGTGGTAGGTCATATTAAGACATTGTAATAAACAACTTGTCCAGCATTTAGGTGACATCAAAGGCATGTGGGGGTTTTGCATTTGATTTTTTTGTAAATGGGCCCCACTCTGTAGTCTAAGTTAGCCTCAAATTCATGGCAGTCCTGCTACCTCTGTCTCCACAATGCTGGGATTACAGACATGAGCCGCTATGCATGGTTCAATGGAATTAAAATATTAGCCTCTCTTGAAAGTGCTTAAACTATGAATAAAAAAATGGTGAGAATCCAAGATGTACTTTAGTTCCAAGTGTCTAAATGACCTAAGGACATTGCTGCTAGAACTTGAACAGCAATGTGACTGTCCGGCCCACAGATTTCTTCTCAGATTATCAAAAGCTCATTGGATTCAAGGATGTTTTTCACATCCTATGACTTTGAGGAAATAAAAAGCTTTGGAGCCTAGAATGTCCCCGGTAATAGAGTCCAGAATTGGGGCTGGAGAGATGGCTCAGAGGTTAAGAGCACCTATTGCTCTTCCAGAGGTCCTGAGTTCAATTCCCAGCAACCACATGGTGGCTCACAACCATCTGTAATGAGATCTGGTGCCCTCCTCTGATGTGCAGATATAAAAGGGAGCAGAATGTTGTATACATAATAAATAAATAAAATCTTAAAAAAATAGAGTCCAGAATTTATATATTTGCATGTGATTCTTAAATATCCTCCCTGAATTTTCTTAATTGGTTGTAGATATGCATCCAGATCCCAAGTCTTAAATAAATAATTTTACATCTCTTATTGAAAGATTTTTATTTAACATTTTAATTTCTACTTACATTTTATGAAATACCTTTCCTAATACTTTGTGTTCTAAATACAGTATGATGCATATCAAAGTAAAAAAAAAAAACAGCAACTAAGGCAGTTCTGGAATCAGACCAACTAGATTTTCATTCCAGTTCATTTTTTAGCGTCTATGTGCCCTTAGGCAAGTCACTTCATTTCTTCCAGTCTCAGTTTCTTCAGCTGCCAGATGATTTAAGAGAATCAATTTTACAGAGCTGGTAGGAAAAATAAAGGAGTGACTTCATGGATAGTGCTTGTGACTGTTGGCTCCTAAGAGTTCAGAAGATTCTATTATTTCTTTAGTCATTTCAGAATTTTAGAAATACTAGGGGTTGGGGGGGAACATGGGAGGATGGGAGGACAAGGGAATGGGGGGATGGATATGTAAATATGAGTAGTAATTAAAGAATTAAAAAACAAAAATACTAAACAAAACTTTGTCTATATTTTTGCTATAAGGGTCGGTGTACTCGAGAGAACTGCAAGTACCTACACCCTCCACCCCACTTAAAGTCGCAGCTGGAAATTAATGGGAAGAACAATCTGATTCAACAGAAGACTGCCGCAGTCATGTTCGCCCAGCAGATGCAGCTTATGTTCCAAAATGCTCAGATGTCATCCCTTGTAAGTTATGGCAGAGTCTTTGAAAACTGCTAGTGCTTTCGGGGTATTCTGGTTGCTCTATGGCTGTTTTTCTAATGCTGGGTGCTGCTGCTCTCCAGCTACATGTCTGTTGTCAAAGCATGTATGCTTATAGTGGAATACCTCTGCAAGGCCTTTGGGAAGTTAAGTACTACAAGATTTAGGGCAGTACGTGTGTGCTAATTAACAGTTCAGAGCTGTTCACATGAAGGAAGCAGTCAGATGTGTTGAATTAAAAACTTGGTCACATTTATAGAGAGTTTGGTATTTTTTTAGTCCCCCCCCCGTTTTAATTAATTTATTTTGGTGGTGAACGCCTTTAATCCCAGCGCTCCGGAGGCAGAGGCAAGTGCATCTCTGTAAATTCAACACCAGCCTGGTTTTCAAGAGCTAGTCCCAGGATAGGCTCCAAAACAGAGAAAAACCCTTTTTTGAAAACAGAGAGAGGGGGGGGGGGGGGGGGGATTTTTTGAGAGTTTGGATTTCTAAAAGTACATTAAAAGAAAAGAAGCTTTGAAAATTGAAGCAAACGATTATTAACAATGAAACCTTTGACTTGTAGGATATTATTTCAAACAAATTTCTCTTATTTGGTAATTTTGTTATTGGTTTTGAGGTGAAGTTTCACTATGGCCTCAAGCACAACAGACTCTCAAACAAACACTGGGATTTATAAGCATGTGCCACAATGCCTAGTTTTGTGATTACTTTTGGATTACTTTTAATTAAATTCTCTTTTAAAATAATTTTAGATTTAGAAAATTCCAAAAGCAAAACAGGGAACTCCCGTTTTATTTCTTACCCAGACTTCTTTCTTTCTTATTTTTTGTGAGGTTCCAGAGATTGAACTCCAGGATTTGGACATGGTAGGCAGTAGCTGTACATGGTAGGCAGTAGCTGAGCTAGCTGTACATCTAACTTTACAGTTTGATTTTCAACAGTGAGGGTAATGAACTCTAAGACCTTGTGCATGCTATACAGGAACAATACTACTGGGCTGTATTCCTCCCACACACAGTTAATATCTTATATTACCATTATAGATGTATCAGACCCAAGACACTGGTATTCACATATCATTATATACACTCTGATTTCACTAAGTTTTCCATTAATATGCTCTTTCTATGTCAGTGTCCAATCTAGTAGGTACCATGGTACACATATTTGAATTGTCCCTCTTCTGTCCTGTGGTTTGTGACCATTTCTCCATTGTTTCCTATTTCCTGTGAGCTTGACATTCAAAAATGTAATTAAACACCATCTATTCATATTATACTTTTGAGAATTAATCTTGTCCTGACACCTTAAATTATAAATTTGTGTTTTAGTCTGGCAACTCTTCATGGAATTTGTCCCCCTCTGCTATAGTACTTCATGTCTCCTGTTTAACTCAGTAGTTTCTCATTCAAATTCTAGCTAGCATGCTTCCTTTTAACCATTAACAAGACCAATTTGAAAGGACTGTCCTTCCTTTGTTACCCATTCATCAGTGACTGGGCCTGAAAGTTGAAAGTTGTCTGTAGCATTTAGATGCAGTGAAAATATGGGAGTGAGACAATCTGCTCTCAGTAAAGCTTATCTCATTACAAAATTGATTCTCAGATTTCAAGGAGCAACAAGTTGACATGATCTTCTAACTAGCATATTTGTTTACATGATTCCAACCACAGGAGGCTACTGAGTGCTTGATGTTTTTCTTTATGATACGGTTTCCAGAATATGCAGACAGATAAGTAAGATAGGATAGATTTCATGTTTTGCACCATCAGTTTGCCAAATATGTTTGCCTTCTAACTCAGTGCTGATAATTATGTTGATCAATTGATCCTCATGTAACCAATGAGCTCTTTAGACCTCACTTGACCTTCAGTCATACTTTACATTGTCAAAGAACATGATGAACTCTTCAGGACTTTTATGTGCTGAGGGAATCACAGTTCCTTCCTACTCATTGTATGGGAAGATACTGGCAATAATGTTCACAAAAAAGTTAGACATGTTTGTGACTCCAAAAATGTGAGTACATGAGAATAAACAAAAGGAATTTTTACTATTTTTCCACTTCATTGTGGTATAATTGACCAAGTGTATGTACTTAAGGTATAAATGTGATGATTTATATATATATATATATTACATATTTGCCTTATTTATAAAATGAGACAATGCTCATTAACCTAAAGGATATTATATTATAACATGTGGGACAGATCAGATAGAGAATTAATAAATACTGCATGGTTTCACTTATATTTAGAATCATAAAAGTATTGAACTGATAAGAATAGAGAATAGATTATTAACAGAGGCTTGGGGTAGGGGTGTTGGTCAAAGATTGACTATGACAAAGAAATATTTAATTTGCCTACTGTTCTCAGCCTCTTATGGAAATGAGCAAGAAATGGAGCAAAATTTTACTAACACTTGAGCGCAACATATCCTATAGTGTCCAGAGCAGATATTTTTTTCAAAGGTCAAGGTATAGCTTCAAAGTACCAGTCAAATACCCTGTTT